AAATGTAGTGCACAGGCACTACAATGGAGATTTGGTGTGGCATCTAGAGGCCTAAAATCATGAAAAGGAATGAATACTGTAGAATACTTCGAGGATTTGGACACTTTTAAATAAAAAAGCAGCTTAATAGGATTAGAGTACTCGCCAGCCGGCACCAGCTTGGGGCTGGGTACGGGGCCGTTGCTGTGGCCCTGGCCCACGCCTTCGCCGAGGGCCGGGGATCAGTTCTATTATTTTGGGTTTTCCCTCAATAATAGGGGACTTGGATGTGTTTAGGAAATTAATATTTGATTAAATGGAACGTTTGAGGTCTGTGCGTAGAGAATAGATACCCGATGCGGCGCTTGCACCTAGTTAAACTTAGGAGACATAACGTACGAACAGTGAAGTTTAGCTGTTCACTGCATTTGGGGGTTGTTCCGGGAAGTTATACTATTAAAATTAAGACCCAACAACAGCAACACACATTTGTTTCACACAAACAACTCCATTCGACGGACTGGGGGCATCTGAGAGCAAGCTCCACGGAGATAATCGCCATGCACCTACGTAACGGCCGGGTGATAAGTGCACTTGGCTGAGCCGAATGCCCACCGCACGGGAATGAAGCCCATCCAGCCGCCCTTCGGCACCTTTACCTACCGCCTCAGCCAGTCCAGCCACTCGAGAACTTCCTCTATTGCTGGCTCCAAAGAGACCGGTCGCGGAAATGCAGCCACAAGGGCAACACTCCGAAGAACTAGCTAAGTTAAAGCGACAAATCGAAAGACTCCAAGATTGCCTGCAACAGATGAGTGAACAGCGGTCGACTTCCGCACCAGCGCCGCCTATTCCTTGGGATAAGGGCAATAGTATGAACTCCATTTTGACACTTATGGAGCTACCGTTCATGATGAGGGGTCTTCCGCCAGAGTGCTGGGGTGATGAGCTCGGGGAATACCTCGATGAGGATGCCCAATGGTGTTGGACGGACCTGCTACGATCCGGTGCGGACATGACTGATTGGTCACTCATTAAACAGGAACTACTAAAAAGTTTCTGCACGGTAGATCGAGCAAAACTCATTTACCAAATGGCAGCTAACAAATGGACTGGGGACTGCAGCGCCTTCTCGGCTACCTTCAGTCGAATCACGGCTCGTGGAGTCCAGTTGTCGGCAGAAGACCTAGTTGGTTACTTCTTGACGAATACCCCAGCGGAACTCAGATGGGCCGTAACACAGCGAGGCACGATACAGTTCAGTAATTGGCGGGCTGCATCCAAGGCATTAGCCGCTATCGTCGTCCCGTAGGGAGTCACACAGGAGGAATTCCGTAGGCGTGAACGGGAATTCCAACTTAGTCTGGCAGGAAGAGCAGCGGAGCTTCCACGTGAGCCAGAGTCTACTGGAATTAGACGGTACACCCAGGCATCGGGTGACCGAACAGAAATAATATGTTACCAGTGTAAGGGCAAGGAGCACACGGCTAAGAATTGTCCAACCGGCGATCCGAAGCTACGCAGACATGGAGAAACGTCTCTGAACTGCGGAGGCATGGGCCACTACGCACGTGACTGTCGAACTTCTGGTCGTACGAGGGCAGGTGCGGACAGCTATAATTCCTCGACAACCGCACGGCAGACAGAGCAGCAAACTCAACGTTTAAACGAGGGAGCCTAGACGTTGCGGGAGACAACCAGGCCATCAAATCGTGGTAGAGGGGTGATGTGTGCAGTAGCGACAGCACCTAATGTCATTCCAGTCTCCCCTCGGTGGGCAGAGAAGCTGATGAGCATAAGGAGCAAGGGGCGCCAGTGGACGATCTAAGGCCGCCCGCTTGTCGGAAGCTGTCCGCAGAGCGACGGACAGCTGTACCCCGGCCGTACTACCCGTGGAGGTGGTAGGGCGTTCCTGTGAGGCGCCCCTAGACACTGGAGCCCCACGCAGTTTCATCAGCCCTCAGCTGGTTGACGCCTTACAGCTGAAAGTGAGGAAACGTTCGGATGTGTGCGTATTTACCGTAGCGAACGGTGCTCAGTTGCGTATTGATCGAACCGTGAAGAATTTGACTGTCGGGTGTGGACGTGAATGTTTTACCGGGGACTATGTAGTGGGCCCAGTTCCCTATGATATAGTCCTCGGATTTAATTGGTTGACGAGACACAAAGCTGCCTGGTACTTCCAATCGGATAAGTTGAGAACG